CCCCCTCTCTCTCTATTCCTCTCTCTCTCACTTACTCTCCCCCCTCTTTTACTTCCCATGGCCCTCCCGTCTTTCTGTCCTCCCCTCTCCCCCTCCCTCAATATCTCTGCACCAAACGCTCTTTCCTTGTCTCCCCCCCCCTTTTCCAAACATACCCGTTCTCAGTCTCCGTGAACCTTTTAGACTCTCCCCTTTCCTCTCTTTACCCTCCGCTCTCCCCTTCCCACTGTCCTTCCCCCATCACACCCGTACCCAGTGAATCTTTCATCAGACATTGGTCTCGTAAGTTCGTTTCGACTTCCCCGAGTGGGTGGAGCCTAGCGTACCACGTGACACGTTGGACACCATGGACACTCGGGATGTACCCAGGGACACGTCACGACTCTCCATCTGAAGGAAAACAAAGAAAGGGGAAGATTAGAGGTGTTTCAAGAGAGCGTCTCGGACATTTGGGGAAACAAAATTATTTCCTTTTTTTATGTTTCTGGAAGAGAGAGAGAGAGAGAGAGAGAGAGGGGGGGGGGGGGGGGGGGGGGGGGTTATTGTTTTGGGACTACCCCAACCAGGCCTTTCATAAAAATAACTGCATTCTGTCGTACCGGTAATGTTAATTTTTTAAAAATTGTGTTTCATTCTTTTTACCTAACAACACATTATATTGTGGTCTACCTAGACTACATTATAATGTATTTTTTCTTCCTATTTTTTCAAGATTTAAAATTTGAATTTCGACAAAATATTTCTTTATCACATGCAACCTGTAGATTCTCTACCTGTCCCCGTCGTTTTACGCTAGAAAAATTATGAAAGTATGCAAACTGAGCCCCCCAAAAAAGTGAAATTACAATGCATGCGATTCTGTTAATTTCAACAAAGAATGATTAAGGAAAATAATCAGAAATTATGCAAAAAATGATCAAATTATGCGGGGTGCATAAAACCACAGGGACAGCTATACCATATTTTGGAGACTGCAATAATAATCATTTTAAAAATTTGGAAGAAGAACATTCATTTTAAGGCAGTAGGCCGACGATATAGGCATTCTGCTAGACCGAGTTTCCTCACCTTCAACTTGTGTTGGCCGGGCGGGTCTTCTGTGAATCCCAGGTTGACGAAACTGGTCTCAGGTTTCACGTCTGATTTGGGGTCCACCTGGAAGTCTGCGACATACGTGACCAGTTTCCGGTGTTTCTGAAGCGCCGGGCCCCAGTACACGGAGGGCATGCACAGCAGCTTCACTTTCTGTTGTTGGGAAAGAGAGAGAGAGAGAGAGAGAGACAGACAGACAGACAGACAGACAGACAGACAGACAGACAGACAGACAGACAGGGAGGGAGAAAGAGAAAGAGAAATAAGATGATGATGTTGTTGTTGTTGTTGTTATTGTTGCGGTGGTGCTGATGGTTGAGGTAGTGGTAGTAGTAGTAGTTGCTGTAGTTGTAATAATAATAATAGTAGTAGTAGTAGTAGTAGTAGCAGCAGTAGTGATAGCAGTAGCAGCAGCTGCAGTTGCAGTAGTAGTTGTAGTAGTAGTACTAGTAGTACTAGTAGTAGTAGTAGTAGTAGTAGTAGTAGTAGTAGTAGTAGTAGTAGTAGTAGTAGCAGCAGAAGTAGTAGTAGTTGCTGTTGTAGTAGTAGTTGTGGTAGTAGTAGATCTAGTAGTAATAGTAGACTGCTTACTAGTAGTAGTAGTAGAAGTACATGTAGCAGCTGGAGGAAAAGTCTGGAGTCTATGGCCTAACGATGTGCTCTCTCTCTCTCTCTCTCTCTCTCTCTCTCTCTCTCTCTCTCTCTCTCTCTT